TTTCGAGACCATATTTAGCAGCTTTTAACTTTTGGTGAAAGCAGTCTGTAGCAAATTACATACCACTGGTATTTTCCCCAAAATGTTACTATAGCATATTCCCAGACAGCAGTAAAATACTTCTTTATTTGGCCTATATCATTTATTTTAAATCAAGCACTTTATGTTTACTTTAAATCATGTATACTGGTGCTTTGTTCTTAGTCCTTGGGAGATTTTTTTTTTCTGGTGACAATCGTTTGCTTGATTGAGCTTTTATCTTGATGTTTACTAAAATTGATTATCACTATGACAATTGTCTTGAGGTTGTTAGCTTTTTAACATTAATTGTTTCTAAGCTATCTTTGACTACAGGTATATTTGATTCATATGCTACTTAGTACTCTGTGTTTGGAAGTGCCAGATTGCTTCAGACAGACAGTGTGTTTAAATAGGTAATTTTCTTATTTAAACAACACCCATGTAAATTGTAAAAGTTCTTAAAATGAGAAGTTGGCAAAGCTAAATTATTTGTATTTATCTGTATAGATCAAGAAATTAGCCTTTAGTTTTTTGTTTTGATTTTACAATTAAAAGTGAAGAAAAGATGTGTATGTTCCCCTAACCTTCAATTGTGTGTGTGTGTGTGTGTGTGTGTGTGTGTGTGTGTGTGTATCAGCATTCTAGCCATGTTGACCTTTTTATCTCTTGGATTCTTTCCTTCAGTGTTCAAGGATACTGTAATATCTTATCTATTAAAAACGAAAACCTTATGTCCCTTAGTTCCCCTCCAACTACCATTCCATTTCTCTACTCCCCTTTGTAGCATCATTCTTTGAAAGGGTTCTCTATAATCACTGATTGCGCTTTCTTGCTTCCTGTTCTATAATCCAGCTCCAGCAAGTCTGGAGCCTCCCCTAGACTACTAAATCTACCCTTGTCCACCAGTCACATACTAATTGCCGAATACTCGGTTAGTTCCTGGTCCTCATCTTAATGAACCCCTCACTAGTATTGTTCTTTTCCCTAAAGATACTTTCTTCAGTTGGCTGCTGGTTCCTTAGAATTTGTCTGATCATGAAGCATGAGCTTCCCTCAGGACTCAGCCTTTGATCCTCTTCCCCGGCTCCACTGCTCTCTGTGGACCTTTAATTCCTTCCCAGTTGACGATGCCCAAGTTTTCATTTAATGGCTGCCCCCTAGTTGATTTACCCAGTTTCCTATCAGTAGATATTTGCATTCATTTGGTTTTATGTTTTTAAAATTAGGGTGCTGTACAAGTATTCTCTTGCACATAATCTCTTTGTGTGTTTGTGGGAGCACCTTTCAAGTAAACATCCTAGAAGTAGAAAAGCTAGATCTGAAGATATGGACCTTTACATTCTATTAGATATTACTCTTTGCTTTTTACTTTTTCTTACTTTCCTGACTGATTTTAATTGACTTTGCAAGAACAAATTTCTACCAGTTTAAGTGTAAAGCAGTCTGCTCATTTTTACAATAAATTTTGTACTATAAATATCTTACTCTTGAGATCTAAATAGATTGGGATACTGTGTCATTATTGTAGAGCCAAAATATGATTCATTATCTAGAAAACGTGAATTTTTACGTGAAGCTGAGGAACCGAGAACACATTTTTCCCCTTTCATGGTGTCAGATTTGATTACCGGTTATCACTAATTTAAATTGCATAACCTGTCAGCTTCATTATACCAGAGCAGTGATTGGTTTGTTTTTAAAATTGTTCTTTGGAGGTTTTTAAAAAGATAGCTTTTAAATTATTGCAGAATTTCTCCATAGAAAGAAAATTAACTGAAATTAAAACTATTGTGAGGAATTTCTGTTTGAGATAATTGATTTGAAACTAGGGAGTAATCAAAAACTTCTGGAAGATTTTAAAACAAATTTAAAAGGTAGTAACACTTTCCATATTGTGATTTCCCTTGGAGAAGGTAGTGGAGAGAAACAAATTTTCTTTGTAGTAACTCACCAATGAATTATTTTGACAGGTTGCAGTTTTGACTAAATGGATGAAATGGGTACCTCCTGGGGATTCTTTCCGCTTATGTCAGTGCTGAATCAGCAGTAAATTAAAACCTTTTGTTGTCAAAAATTTTTTTATTCTCTCCAGTTTCTTTTGTATCGTTCATCACATGAAAGGGAATTATTTCATATATTTGAAACGTTTAGAAAATGCGAGTTTTGGCAAACTAGAATTCCTATGATAAGCTATTTGTTTTTAAGACAAAGATTTCTATTATCATAGAAGTATTCTTTTAAACCATCCTTGCTATTAAATTTCAAATTCAGGTTTACAAACTGCAGTTCTACAGAGACTATCTTTTTTTTTTTTTTTTTTTTNTTTAGAGTTGGAGTCTTGTTGTATCACCTGGGCAGGAGTGCAGTCTGAGCTCACTGCAACGTCTGTCTCCCAGGTTCAAGCGATTCTCCTACCTTAGCTTCCCAAGTAGCTGGGACTACAGGTGTCCACCACCACACCCAGTTAATTTTTTGAATTTTAGTAGAGACAGGGTTTCACCATGTTGCCCATGCTGATCTTGAACTCCTGGGTTCAAGTGATCCACCCACCTCAGCCTCCCCAAGTGCTGGGATTACAGGCATGAGCCACAACACCTAGATCAGAGACTGTCTTTGTAAAGCAGCAGCAGATCTGGATCTAGTATCAGTGTATAGGGATGTCCTTTTGAAATTCTGTAGTCAGAATGATTCCTCTGAAGTTGTTGCTAAAGGATTCTTTGCCTATACATTGCATTAGAGATCCTTTCTTTAAAACATAGACAAAGCAAAGGTAAAGAAGTTATTTGCCTCTTTTTACCAGGATGATGAATGACATTTACTTGGTGTAAACCATTTGAAATTCATTTTGTCTTTCATGACTTATTGAAAATATTTTTTGAATTAGTATCATAGGATATGCCTTTTTTTATACTGGAAAGAAAGAAGGGATAGTTTCTAGCCTCCAGAGCACGGGTGCCCATAATAATAATAGCACCTGTCATCTCTTAGACTCCTATTACCTAAAGTGATAGGCACCATAATGAGACCTTCACATGTATTCTCTCAGACAGTCTTGGCAAACAACCCAATGCAATAAGGACTGTTATTCCTACTTGGAGATAAGGAAGTTATCTCTAAGTAATCTTAAGAGATTAAATAATTTGCTCAAAGTACATAGCTAAGAAGTAGTAAGATTTGCATCAAATATTCTGACTCCAGAACCAATACCCTTCATCACTGAGCTCTGCTACCCAATTAAATTCTCCATGTGAAAGCGACCTGTGGAAGTTGGCATAGGCTCATATTTATGGTGTATGATTTTTAGGCTTAGTCCTGGACCTCTGGTCTTCTCATATACCTCTCATGCAGCATTCTTATGCATACCCTTGAATTCAAGTGTTATCTGTGTACTGGAGAAATTTTTTTTAACTACAACTAAAACATGTCTCAGACATTTTCACTTGTGATTTTTTTTTTTTTTTTTTTTTTTTTTTTTTTTTTTTTTTTTTTTTTTTTTTTTTTTTTTTTTTTTT